GGCCTTGGGATAATTTTAATAAAACAAAGGTTTGGGTCTATTTCTTTCTATGTAGTTTATGCTTTCCTCTGAAGTCAGCTTTCGGGCATATGTGATTCATTGTTTTTTCACTAAATATTCATTTCACTTGGTGTAAAGAGACTTAATAAACCAGCCCAGTTGTTATGTGAGGTCACCCCCTGGATGCACGGACAGAAGAAAAGGGCGTCCACATTACTAAGTGGAAATAAATGGTCACCTGGCCTCTGAGGAGGTCCCTGGAGCCTAGAGTAGGTAGTGAGGGAGACACTAGCTCTGAGGATCCAGGGAGCACCACTAGGTGCACCTAGGGAGACTTGCTGCCTTCACTACCACGGCCTATGAACTGTTACAGCCAGGCCTGTAAACCAAGCCCTCTGGGAAGCTGAGGCAGGAAGGCTGCAAGTTTGAGCCAAACCTGGGCAAATGAGTGACTTAGCCACTGTCTCAAGATACAAAATAAAAAAGGGGTGGGGATTTTATTTAGTCCATAGAGAAGGCCCAGTACTGAAAAAATAAACAATCAAACAAACACCCCACAACTCCCCAAAACTGTTAAGAGGTGGGCAAAAAGGTCAAGTCATGGGGTCAAAAACTCACCCTGTAAAGAAAAATCTCAAGGAGTGCTGACTCTTGAAAGGAAATTCTCCTTGGTTGTAAGCACTGAAGACCCCGCTTTCTAGTAATGTCTGGCCATTTTGCATTTTCAGGGTACTTTAGCTGCCCTTCCTAACCTCAACTTGTGTTTAGAAAAAGTTCCGCAATGTGCTGGACCCTGGCTGGGCATGAAAGGTGTGGTTTGTTTTGGTTTTGTCCTCACTGCCCCATCTTTGTGCTAGCCTTGCTTCTAGGGTTAGGGGTTCAGTCTTCTCTCCTAGGAGCCTTTACTTCTTTAAGTTCAGCCCTGGCCTCCCCTCATGATAACCAGCTGGGAATCCCCCTGCCCCCTACTTCCTCTCCAGGAGCTGGGTGGTTGGTGTTCCCAGTGCTGAAGCCATGAACTCGGAGGGCTGAAGCCCAATTATTAGGTGTGACATCATCAACTAATTTCCGGACTGACCTCAAGTCTGACCTAAGAGGAGGAAAATTAAAAGGCAAGATGCTCTTCTGCTGCAGGCAAGTCCTTTGGCAATGCCAGAAGTTGAAATCCAAAGCAAGGGATGTCCAAGTTGGCTACAATGGGTTGATGCAGTGTCTTAAAATGGTGCCGAGCGTATGACCAATGGTTCTCCTTGGAAGCTGGACTAAGGAAACAAAGCTGTTACCTCTCCTCCAGAGGCTAGAAGCTTGAACTCTATGGAGTTAAATTCTAGTTTTGTCACTTAGGAGCTGTGTAGTCTTGGGCAGGTTAACGGCTGGGCGCACTGCTTTTCCATTTATGCAGTGCAGAGGGCACTACAGGTACCTCCTCTTGGAACCACAAACCAGTTCACCTGTTCTCAGGCCACAATCAACACAGAAGACTTCTGTATGGGGCTCTCCTTTCACCAGCAAGCAAACAGTTCTGAGCAGACACAGCTGCAGCTGCGTGTCCTCTAACTCAACTCAATTAAACTCTGACACGATCTACCTGGAGAGATACCATCGCCAACGTGTCTCACAGGCTGAGGCTCTGTCCTCAACACTGCCCCCTCCCCAGGGCAGTCACGAGCCAGGTAGTTTTACTGACTTCTAACCACCTGGCTTATAAAGTAGGGTTCCCGTAACCTCCTCCCTTGGCTTAATCTGTCTGAATGGCTCACAGAACTCAGGGAAACATGTTTACTGGCTTGTGATAAAGGGTAGTACAAAGAGTACAGATACACATAAGTTATGGGAGAAGACACACACCCTCTAGGAACCCGCATTTGTTCAGCTATCCAGATATACTCTGAGCCCTGTCCTTTTTTTTTTAGATGGAAACTTCATTACATATGCTTTTTGGTTAAATCTGTGTCCACTGGTTATCAATTTAATGTTGTGCCTCCCTCCCCTCCTGGGAGGTCTGGGGGCTGAGGCTGAAAGACTCAGTCCTCTAAAATCCTGCCTTATTCTGATGACAAGTCCCCAGGCAGAAGCTACCTAGAGGCAGCCAGCTGCTCATGGCCAACTCATCAGAATAGGAACAGACACCAACTACTTTGGAGATTCCAAGGATTTTAGGAGTTGGATGCCAGGAAACAGGGAGGACAGCAAATACACAAACCTCACAATAGCACACTACCTAACAGGTTGCTAACATATACTGTGCCCCAAACAGTGGCTGACACAGTAAGTGCTACTTTAAATTTCAGCTCTTATGACTATGTCAACCACCCTTGAATTGGCTCCCTTTACCCCCCCCCCACCCAGTGCTTACTACCTGGCCTCTTCCGTGGCCTACTTATCTGTCCCTAAAAGCGACATCCAAAATGGCCCCTCCAGTTGGATCGCAAGGATGCCAGACCATAGTCTATTCTAAGTAATTTATGCTGCTGGCTCTTGAAATTGGAGTCTGATGGGCAGGTTGCTGCTGATTGCACGGCACACCCTGACCTCACCAGGAAAAGGTCAAGGGCTCCTTTGTCCTTTGCACTGAAGCAAAGGCATCTTTCAGAGAATTGCAAACTGTTCCTCTCTCCACATGATATCATGCGGCTGCCCACCCCTTCCTCATAACGCCGGTGACTGTGTGGCTCACACTTCCTTCTGGGAAAGCCACTGGGGTTGTTCATTTCATGCAACCAGAGGTTCCAATCAATTGCTCATTTGGTTAATGATAAATTGGAAAATCAGGCTCTGGGAGCCAGCACGTGGTTCCCTTTTCTTCGAAGGTTCCATCACCCTGGGCGCCCAGCGTTAAGGACCCACCGCCCTCCCTCCACCTTTCTCCAGGGGACCCGACTCCGAGTGAGTATCCTTCAACCTAAGCCGAGACTTAGGACTTGTCCTGGGCTTGTCGCTCTCCTTGCTCATCCCATTCATCCCCTTAGGCTGTTGCTGTTGCTACTGCTATGAAGAACTCAGGAGGCAGAACCACAGTCTGCCCAGCTATGGGGGGAAAACTGGACAACTAGACGTAATCAACCAAGGCAAAGAGCGGCAGGGAGTAAGCCTGGCTATGAGAGGTTCTGCAGGGCTTGGGTCCGAAGTCTGAATATCACCCAATCTGTGAAGAGCCCCCCCCCCAGCCATAACAGTTTGCAGAACAGGAAAAAGGAGATTGACCACAATTGTATCCTCCAAAAGTGAGCTGTCTCAGACAATCTCTGGCAAAAGCCATGTAATGAACTCCGTCCTCAGACCAAACGCGGAGTCCGGGCACACGGAGCAGGTTCGTTGGAGGACACGGACTCCCACCCGTCCGCAGGTCTAGGCCCGCGCTCTTACCATTGGCGTTCTTGCCGCAGATGAGGTGCTCATAGGGCTGCAGGACGCCCCAGAGCTCGGCGTCGTTGTTGATGACCATCTCCAGGGCCTCGGCGGACACTTCTCCGCCCCCCGCCCCGCCGTCGGGGCTCTGGCTGGCCAGCACTCTGGCCCGGATCTCCTCCACCAGGTTCTCCATGCAGGCGGTGAGTGAGATGGCCGCATACTCGTGGATGCGCACAGAGATGCGGGTGTCCACCATCCAGCGGAAGAAGCGGCCCACGGAGAAGGTGAGGCCGCAGCGCGCGGACTTGCCCCGGCGCAGCCCGTCGCCGGCGCTCATGCTGTAGAGCGACAGCGCCTTGA